TAAATTTTAATAATTTTGAAAATTTATAACCAAAAAAAAAAAAAAAAAAAAAAAAGAGCCAAAGGTTGCATATTTAACGACTTTTTTTCTGTTTCTTTCTGGATTCACTCTTCGTCAACACAACGTGCGGAAGCCATTTGCTTTTACGTATTAAAGACGGTTAGTTCAATAAGTCATTTCTTTACGTGGTGATGTCGACTAACCAATATTGTTTATATTTGATGTGCGGATCATCCCAGATGGAACCTTCAAAGGTGCCAAAAAGTGAAAAAGAAAAAAAAAAAATCGAGTTTATACTTTCTAAACGATGGTGAATTTGAATGACCCAAGCGGTTGCGAAGCGAGTGATAGAGAGATGAACCATTACAAAATATAAATATCTGTGTTTTCTGGCTTGAAGAAACTTAAAATGATCACCAAGAACTAGTTCAAACTTAAAGGAAAAGGAAGAGATAGAGGGAGAAAGAAAGAAAGAGAGAAAAATAAAAATAAGAAAAAAAAAAAGTAGATTACATAGAAAAAAATGGCTGGTATCTCAACTCCTACACCCATTCACATTTGCTTATTGTGTACAGAGAGATTTAGAGATGAAAAAGCTAAGCAATTGCATTTGAGAAAAGTGCATATTGAAGAGAATAGGTATAAAGACAAGTGGGAAAATGATTAAACCTACAATTGAAAGAGAAACTCGAATAGTGTAGAAGGAAGCTAAGGAGTAAGAAGGAAGCTAAGGAGTAAGAAGAAACATATAAATATACATATATATTATCTCTATAAAAGAGAATAAACAACTGAATTTATTGATAAACTTACAAACCTTTTTTTCTCAATCTCTTTCGATAAACCCATAAAAAAAAAACATTAAATGGATAACCCACAAATCGGTCCTTTCTTCTTTCCTCTATTAGGCTTTTAAACATATAGTGGATTATAAATTGAAGAACGTCAAAGAATACAAAAAAGAATCTAAAGCAAAAAAAAAAAGTTAACCACTACTGAAACCGAAATTTGAAAATCTAATTGTAGTGTAATGTAAAAAATGCATTTTGTTTTCGAAATGTAAGCATTCTTCATTAAGAATATTATTGTAAAAAGTGATATTGAGTTTTGATGATGGTAAGAAATATATGGTTGCAAGTTGTCTTTTTTTTTCAATTATATACTTACATGAAGTAAGCTAATGGAATCAAAGCCAAAGCTAAGAAAGTGGCACCATTAGTAGCAGCGGAACCTTCATATGCTGAAACGGTAGAAGCTGGGTTAGTGGAAGCAGATTCGCTTTGAGCAGCAACAGTTTGTTGAGCAACTTGGCTTTCAGCAGCAACAGTTTGTTGAGCAGATTCAGTAGCTAAAGAAGTAGGAAGAGCTCCACCGAGTGAAATTACAACAGTTTGGTAAACAGTAGAAGTAATGACGGTAGAACCTGAAGTGACGACAGTGATGCCAACTGGTGTAGCAACTGAAGAAACTTGTTCTTTTTCTGTTTCAGTAGCTGATGCTTTGCTGCTTTCTTCGCTTACTGGGCAATAAGTGATGTATTCAGTAACAGTACCTTGAATGGTTTCGGTGGTCCATGCTGGAGTAGCAACAACAGCACTGGTGTAACAAGCGTCGTTTTCACATGAGGTGATTGTAACGGTCTTGGTGGATTGTGGAGTTTCAATAGATGAAACTGGGCAGTAAGTAGTGTAAACAGTTGTAACACCTCCAACAGTAGCAGTAGCGACAGATGCAGTTGCATCAACGGTGGTCTCGTGACAAATGTCTTCTTCACATGAAGTAACAGTTACAACAGTGGTAGCTTTCTCAGTAACTATACCAGCAACTCCGTCAGTAGCGGATGATGTACAGTCAGTAACGGTTGAAATAGTGGTTGAAACGATGGTTTGTTCGGCAGATGATGGAACGTGATCAACAACTTCGAAAATAGAAGTATCGATAAATGTACCCTCGATTTGTTTAAGTGCTTCAACGAAATCTTCTACACTTTCTCTTTTAACATTTGATACTGCGCTAACATCTAAACCGCGTTGTTTCATTAATCTTTTTCTGATAGCCTCGGTTGAGTTGCTGGCTGGATGTTCTTCAACCTTGACTTGGTATAATGGAGCATTTGGTGTATCACCGTATAAGAATTTAGCTGGTATATCAATAACATTTCCTGCATTGATGATATCAGTGAAGTATTTGTGTACTCCGTCAACAGTTGAGTAGTAGAATAAGACATTGAAATCTGAAGTTGAAGTGAATTCAAAAACTGGTTTTTCTACTTCAGATGTAATTGTGAAGGGACAAAGTCCGGTATCCAAGTCAACAATGCCAACGAGTTGTCCCCCAACTAAACATGCAACGTCTTTTGCAACAGCCGATGATAAGAGGGCTGCTGAAGCGGCAATTACCGATGATAATCTCATTTTTTTTTTCTAAGTTGGAATGTAATGGAAGTGAATGTGGATAGAATTGAGAGTGCTACAAAGTAAAAAAATGAAAGTGATAGAGAAAAAGAAAGACCATCCCATCTATATATATATATATGTATATTTATACACACATGCATCAAGCAAAATGAAGTTTGAAGTGGAATTCTCAATGTGTTTAATTCCCAACGTATATTGAAATACGCTAAAAGAAGGCAGGGAAGAAAAAAAGCGTAGTTCTACTATTAGGCATTACGATGCAATGATTGCAAAAGAGAAGAAGAAAAAAAAACAAACAATAAAGCGAAAAATACTAACGGAAAAAAGAAATCGTACTTTAGAGTTTAGATCTCATAACTATAAGGTCTTTTAGATGAAGTAAACAAACAGAACTAAATAAAGATAATCAGAAAGCAGGAGAGTGAGAGAGGTATTGATATTTTGTATTGCTTTCTCTTCTATGTTATCAAACCTGAGACTAGTGTAGTATGCTCTACAAGAGGGACAAGATAAAGAGAACAAAGCTATGGGTGAGAGGACGGTAGGGGGTTTAGAGGGGTTTATAGGGGTTTTTTTTTCGAAATTTCAGAAATTGATTGTAGAAACAGCCTAGTTGTTAAATGGATTTAGAGTGTTGTTTTGAAAAGTTTAGAGGTTAAAGAGAAAAGGTTCAATGTTTATGGTATTGAGGATATTGCTTTGAGTGTGTATTTAGAGTTCCAAGTTATTTGGTAAAGATAAAATGGTGGATTAGAGCAACAAGAAAAATATAGATGATTATTTGATGGTACTGGTGGTTTTCATTATAGACTGAAATTTGTCAGGAAAGGTCAAAAAAATGTGCAAAAAACACACGCTAATGTGTAAAGTAAGAGACTCCGTGTGAAGCCTTCTAGTTGTTTTGTGGATGTTGCTATTGCTGTTGCTGTTGTGGTTGTTGTTGTTGTTGTTAATTGCTAGATTTTTTGTTGTGGTAATGATTGAGATTGCTCTGGACTATATTTTAGTCAAATGGAACCAAGCAATTCTGCTTAGCACTAATATAGATAGCTGGTAAGACAAAACAGCTTTGTTGCTCTTTTTTGGTTATTGCTGTAACATGATAAATCATGATCTTATGGGCATCTTCTTTCCATTCTTCAATTCGTTACTCTCTTTACTACTATTCTCCTTTCTACAGAATCTTGTGTACAATGAGCTAAAATACGAACAATAGAAAAAAAAATATTCGCGATGCTTGTCATACATCTTGTGTTTGTAATTGTATCTGTTGTTTCTATTGTTCGTATAGCTTTTTCCAGTATTCACCGACTTTTGCATAGACAACTCATTTTATTGCAACTAGAGTAATTGTGTTTGGTAAAGCCCGGAAAAGTGACGATCATACATACATCACAATCGGGTAGTCACTCCCTCTGTACGATCGTCAAAAAGAAGCAATGAACTTGGCAGCTTGTGGTGGGCCATACCTCTTCTCATGGCATTACTGAGCAGTTTATTAGCATAATTCATGCACGAGTTGTGAGGTCCAAACTTGAAATGAAAATGGAAAAGAGCATTCTATACTTTAGAAAAAACCCACGTATTTTGAAAGAACAAAAACTTTTACTAAAAAAAATTAATAGTTCTTGTGACCAACAACAATATCCTGGTGTCCCTCACTACAATATCCCACGAAGTTAGAAGGTCCATTACTTTAGACCATATAAAAAGGAAAGAAAATAAGCTTTTTATCTATTTCATTTCCTTTTCGGTCCATAGGTGGATTAAGAAAAAAATAATAATAATAAGAGAAAGGGGGGGAGCAAGTAATAAATTCTAAAGAGAGCTAAAAAGATTTGGTTGCGTTGTAATTCATATGCCGCGGCATGAGCATCACATGTTTATTGTTTATCTGCTTTTTAGATCTTTCGAGTCTAAATAAGACACGGATTGTACCAATGTAACATTTATACTGACGTTTGCAAGCATATAATTTATCCCGTAGATTCAAAAAGGAGATAAGGTATTAGTGCGCGCCAATTAAATAGAAAATTCAAACTATTTGTTTTCCGCAAACCAAGTCAATGTAAACTATCCCCATCTTCTAAAAGCAGTACCGAGAAACCGATTTTGTTCTCACTTTTCAACTTTGGAACAAAACAACCTCCTATCCTTGTATGTGTAGAACCGTTATGTTTTTGCCAAATTTTGTCCGACACTTTCCTCCTCACAACAAGAGTGCAACATTTCAGTTTAACATTTTGTACATTAAAATTGATCTGTCTAATATTAATGTGTGCTTTCTATATACACACCATTAACATTGTTTGAAGTTCTTCTATACATCTCGGAATTTATCTGAAATTCTGTTAATCTTTTTAACCAACCAGCAAACTTTCCATCATAAGGTCAATTTGCTCAATACCAAAGACTAGGGGGTGGCGGGGAGGGGCATGACCAAAGAGGTTACTGAGCAATAGCAATAAGTTAAGAAAGTGGTACGTTTTAAAAGAAGAAATGCAATATCATGGAGAAACGCATCTTGTAGATTATACATGTTGCAGGCTGCGTTGCTGTATTTCATTTACAATTATAGTATGTAATTCAGTTCATTTGAGCATAAGATGATTGCCTCCCCCCCCCCCCTCTCCCACTAAGAGAGTTTATGATGTCGCCTTTCTTTCAGTAATGAAAACAAGAGAGTCCTTTTACTCTTCCGTTTTTGGGGTGCCCCCGTTATTATTATTAAGACTAAAAAAAAAAACGAAATAAAAAGAACGCGGAAATTTTGTTAGTTTTTTACCTTGGCTCAAAACCTAATATAACCAGCACTGTTTTTCAATCAATTCTCCCCCAACACCCCCAAAAAGATATATTGCATCGTAGTGTATAAGCATCAACCTTCTGGTTTGTGGGCGGGGTGACACGTTTTTGTTTTTTGAACATTTGGAAAGAGACTGTGCCAAAAGAAGGAAGGTTGGATTATTACCCCCCCCCCCCATCTTAATTTCTACAAGTAGTACCCTCTATTGAACTAACGTATCTGTTTCGAACGCGTGATTCTTGCACTTTTTTCTTTTTGTCTGAATATGCCGCCATACTCGACATATACTCTACATGTCGCCACATTCTACTTATTGCGTTTACAAAGGTGAGATTTCAATCTCTTGATTGTAATGAGGAAAACTTGCATTCTAATTAAGTGAGAGTGTATTGAAAAGTTTCCAAAGCATTAAAAGAGCAACACCAGTGGTGATATTCTCACTATGCAATCAAAAGCAATAGAGTTGCTTTTAGCACATTTTTTTTACAGTGTATGTTACTCGCAAATAGGCAAAATAGGAAAACTTGACTGGTAAACACTTTTTACATTCTTATATTGATGGTGTTTGTAAGATTTCAAGCTAATCTTAGCTCTTGACTTTGCCTGCTCCGTTAGAAATGGAAGCTGCATAGAAGTTACAAATGCTTAAAGCATTTATTCTAACCACTTGCGCATAATTCTACATTATTGCGGAAATCAGCACCTGTAGAATCATCAGCCTATTTTTTTTTTTTTTTTTTTTGCGTAAATCATTAGCGAGCAAGTTATTATCAACTAGCCTTGTCTTGATGATTTTCAGTTTCGGATTTCATACGCTCAATCTAACTCGTTGCATAATGCATTTTGACTCTTGCGTTTGCACCTTTACAATTCTTTGTAGTGTTGCTCATCTCAATAGATTTCCGAAAAACTATCAGTGCATAAGATCTGGTAGCGCATTTGTACATCAAAATAATTGCCATTATTTCACTTTCATAGAAAAAGTTATACTTCTTGTACTTCAATTGAACCTGGCCAAAACCGGAAAACTCCCTATTATAACAGGGTAAGAGGTTGAACTCGATAATACAAAGTTGACATGTTCCAAACTGAAAAGTCAAAAAAAAAGCAAAACGAAACAAAGAAGTATAAAAATAATTTTGTATTATAATCCTTACTTTTTTCTATTAAAAAAGCTACTTTCTTGATAAACTGATAAAGTTTATTTTTATTTTTTATTTTTATTGTCATTGACATATTATTTCTTAGATCTCTCTCAATTATATGTCGTAGATCTCTCCTATTAAAAAGAATATAGCCGAGTGCTTAGATTGCTATAAAATAATTAAACAAAGTCATCAAAATCTATAAAGAAATATGTTGTTTCCTTTTCCATTGATCAACAACATTTTCCTCATCTCTCACTATATTGGTTGCAAGTTTTGATTTTTTGCGCTTTTACTAGTTTTTCATGGGTTGAAATCGGCTAATTTCTTCTCAATCTTGGAATCTTTGTCAATTTTCCAATCATCAACACCTGACCAATCAACTTGGATTTTCCGATGTTTCGACATATCAGTATTTTTAAGAAACTTATTTCTTTCCTTTAACCAATCTTCTTGTACGTCCAAATAAGCTTTATCCCAAATCTTGTCATATTTGTTTTTCACTTTTATTTCTTCTTTCTGGCGTACTTCTTCCAAGGCCATCCATTCCATATGTTTCAAATCATCTTGAGATGGCTCATAAATGTGCCAGATAACGTAATGCGGAAGACCAACTACGCTAAACCCCATTTTTTTACTTAGTTTACCAAATGCTTCTGTTTCTGCGTGCTTTTCAAACGAAAATGCAGGGAAATGAGAACCCGAACGGAAAACTCTTGCCTTGGTTAATATTGAAACTCCTCCAACCCCGTCCAACTCCATTTCCACTTCAGGATCTCCATAGGGATCTCGCAAGTAGGCCAAATGTGGTCGCCACGTTTGGTATTCAACATATCCTTCAACGATACATGCATCTTCGTCTAGAGTATCTGCCAACTGTAATCCCCCATCGCTTTCTTGCCACGAATTCAAATCATATGGTTGTTGGCTACCTAACCAATCGGGTAAAGGACGCCACACGTTCGGTACAATAACATCTTTATCATGGTGCATCAAATCTTCCAATATTGTAGGAGGCACTGTTTCAACATCTGCATCTCTCCAGTAAACATATGAGTGGTGCGGTTTGAGTGCTACTGACCATAGCCAGTTTCTAGCTCTCGCCATTAGTTTCCTTCTTGGTCCCTGTGCGGCAAATCCATGCCTATCACTAAAACCCTGGCCAATAGCTTGACCAAAATCCTTTTCAAATATTTCAATTTGTCCAAACTTTTGAGGAGTCTTTTGTACATCATCGAGATGTCTCAATAGCTCGCCCATAGTGTCATCTTTTGAGTCGCTGACCAAAAACGCCAAATCAATAAGCTCGTGGGGATATGTTAATTTTTTCATATGATCAAAAAACATAGGAAGATGGGCAGCTGCATCTCTCAAAGGCACACAAAATAAGACTCGTTCATCGTACTGCCAGCCATTGGGGCTTCCGTCATAATTCGCAAGGTCAAAAAATTGAACCGTATCCTCGATCCCAGTGAGGTTCGGCAAATAGGTTGAGTTGATGTTAAGCACTTTTGTGAAAAAAATAATAATGATAAGTAGGAATATAAATACGGAAATTGTGATATCTCGAAATGTTTTGATTTGAGGTATATGCTGTTGTAAATTTTTCAATGCAAGTGTATTTGAAAACGTTTGCTTGTGTGTTTTGGATTCCTCTTGGTATTCATAAGGGGTCACCAGAACCGAAGGTATACTGCTTAACGATGTGGACATTCTTTCTTCTCCTCCCCCCCCCAAACAAAAAAAAAATGATGAACAAAAATTGAAGAAAAAGAAAGCAAAACTTTACCACGCTTTCCTTCCCACCTATCTACCTTTTGGCTAGGGTATATAAATATGATGGTGAAAAACTATTGAGATATGGGTAAAGGTAAAAAAAAAAAAAAAAAAAAAGATCCCGATATGCTGATGAATAAATTTGATTCCCTTGTTTGTTGCGAAATTAGTATATCTTTCCTATTTGGTTACAATGCAAGTTCAGTGTTACGGCCTTATAAGGCTACTATTCCTTTTTGTTGAATAGCAAACGAAACTAACTTTAACACTTTCGATGTGAGATTTAATGGAACTCGAACTTCCAAATTCAACTTTTCATTTTCTACTTTTTATTTTTTTTTTTTTTCCGATCGATATGCTCATTAAGGAAAACGCAAAAAAGAAAGATTATACTGAAATGTAGTCAGTTTTATAGAAGATAAATAGGGCTAAAATAAAAGATAAATGGGGCTTAAATAGGGCGTTAATAAAGCACATATATATATATAGTACATAAACAGGACGTAGATAGGAGAAGGCAATTGAAGCCAGGTGGATTAATGTATTCTCTCCCTCTCTCCCTCTCTCCTTACATAACTGACACAACCGAAGTACCATCTTGAAAACGGGTCCTAAAGATTCTATTTGCATTGGTAAACATTCCTTCCTTCAACGAAACGACAATAAACTGAGATCCCTTGAACCTTGTTTTAATCAAGTGTCCAATATTTTGAGTATGTGAAAGATCCAACGCTGCGTCAACTTCATCCAATATATACATCGGTGCAGGGTTAAACTGCAACAATGCCATAATTAAAGAAAGAGCAATCAATGATCTTTGACCTCCCGATAGCTCAACAAGACTGTTTTTCCACACACTTCCTAGTTTAACTTTTACTTCTAAACCTTGAGTAACATCCATCATATTAACAGGAACTAATTTGGCAAAAGAACCAGGAAGCAAATCGGAAAAAATTTGACCAAAATCTTTAGACACTTTTTGATAAGTTCCATTTAACGCTCGTCTGATTTCACCATTCAATTTATCAATCGTTGTTTCAATCTTCTTTTTATCCTTTTCAATCGTTTTGATTTTGAGCTTCAATGAAGCTTCCCTCCTTTCGTTTTCCTCAATCATACTCATTATGTTAACATTGACTTTTCTTCTCATACTTTGATACTTCTCGTTGAGTCTGGCTATTTGACTTTGCGCTTCCTCGAGATTGAAATCGGGATACTGTTCCATTGTTTTTTCAACTGCCCGAGTATCCATTACCCATTCATTCTCACTGATTATTTGATCCAATCTTTCCTTGATAGATGTAGTTGCATTTCGCGTCTTTTCCAACTCAAAAGTTGTGGTTTTGATTTTGACTTGAAGATTGTCTATTCTTTTAGTTTTTGATGCAACAAGCTTCATCAACTCGTTCATCTCTTCATCCAACCCAGCTAGGCTGTTCTTCTCGTCTTCGACTTGCGATTTCACAATATCAAGTTCTCGTTCGAGACTTTCTTGTCTCTCGACATCCTCTTGATCCTTCTTTTGAAGCTCACCTATTAGTTTTTCAGTAGTCACCAACTCCAGAGAAACTTCCTTGAGCTCAGACGCTCGCTGATCTGCCTCCCACTGTAACACTTGGAAGTTTTCTACATCAAAAGCCAATTTTTTCTGCTTCTTGTCTAATTCTTTTTTCAATTCTTCAACTTCCTTTTTCAAACTACCCAATTTTGAAGTTTTATCACTATTGAACTCTTTCAAATCTTTTTCAATCACAATGATTTCGTTTTGAAATTGTTTGCACTGATCTTCGTGTTTGATTATCTCCTTTTTAAGCTCTTCGATCTCATTGAGTTTCAGCTCATTCATTCTAATCAAAGAAGCAGACTGATTGGTTTGAAGTTTTCGTTCAAGCAAAGCCAACTCATGCTTCTTCATTTGTATCTCGTTCCTCAATCCGCTAGTGGCTTGTTTAACTTTTTCCCATTCTGCCAATTTACTGTTCACATTGCACATTTCATCTTCAACATCCCTGAGTTCCTTTACCGCTATGTTGTAATCCTTTAAAGCTAAAAGAAGCGGTGTATTGTTCCGGCGTGATCCACCTGAAATATTTCCCTCAGGCTCATACGTGTCACCTTCAATAGTAATTGAACGTGCTCTAATGTTCGGATCAAATGTTATAGCTTTCGCCGTGTCGGGATCGGCGCAAATAAACGTTGTGCCAAAAGCATACTCCATGGCTTTGCGAATATCTTTTTCATAATGAATCAAATTCAACGCAAGTTGCACTTTTCCAGGTGCAACTTGTTCAGCATACTCCACTACCGCCGTGCCCAAAACTGCTGGATTTATCTTATCGAGAGGTATCATTGTTACTCTTTTTCTCAACCTTCCGCGTTCCAACAATTGCGAAGCAATCTCACTAGTATCCACCACGACGTTAAATAGTCGGCCTCCTGCACACGTCTGCAAAGCAATTGCCTTGTCATAGGATGATTCTGGTAAATCAAAAAGCTGCGCAACTACTCCTCGCACTAATCTATCATCAAAGTCCTTGTATGGACGTTCGTAATGGAAATCAAGACCTCGAAGATTATTTTTCATGTAATTTAAGTTATTCAAAAGCTTTTCTTGCTCATAATGTAGTCTTTCTTCTCGCTTTCGAAACTCATCGGGATTACTTATTGTTGAGTTCATCACCTCGTCCAATTCTTGCTGCTTCAAAGTAATGATCTCCTTGAGTCTCTTCATGTTTGCCATAAAAGTCTCGTGCTCTTGTTTTGCGTGCTCCAATTTCGACTTGTCACTAGCCAATTCTTGCTCAAGATGGTGGATCTTCAAATTGTGTTGTCCTATCAAATTCTTGGATGCACTTAGTTTATTTTTCACTTCCGAAAGTTGAGCTGTATAGCCGGTAGAGGCGTTTCCCTTAACTGACAAACCAGTGCTTAAACCAGCCAATAATTCCTCCTTCTTTTCAAACTGCTCTTTTAAGATAGCCAATTCCTCCTTTGCCTTTAAAACTTTATCCTCATTGTTTTTAAATGAATCTCCATTTTCCGATATTGATGATTTAAGTTGCCCTTTTTTCTTGCTCAACAGTTCAATCTTATTGGTTTCATTTTGTAACTCCTCGCTTGTTAAACCTCTTTGGGTCACCAATCGTGCAAGTTCGTTCGCTAGCCTATTTTCTCTTTGTTCCAATTCGCCTAGTTTACCGTCTTTTTTCAAGTTTTCTTCTCTTGCTATTTTGACTTGTGCCAAATCTTCATTCAAATTATCAATTTCATGAGTAACCTTGTCTACTTCGAAATGAAGTTCTGCAAGTTTTTTTTCGTGTTTAGTTGTGTGTTCAGAGTTGTTGGTGAGCAAATTAGACAACTTACTATATTCAAAAGCAACCTTCATTCTAGTTTGCTTTTCCAAATCAATTTGTGTTTGTTGAAACTCGAAAAAAATTCTCTTGTCATTTCGAAACTTTTCAAATTTGGGCTCTATTTCTTCTGTCAAAAGACTCTTGATCTCAGCAAGTTTGGAATCCTTTTTGAGCATGATTTTCTTAGCCTTAACTTTCTTTTCTTCAAACGTCCTCGTGCCTGCAGCTTCTTCAATAAGTGACAAGATTTCACTGGCTCTCATATTCAAAACCTTGGTAATTTTACCCTGCATAATCAAGAAATTGGGATTATTGATATTCAACTGTACAGATTGGAATAGGCTTAGCACTGTTTGCTGTTGCGCTTTATGACCATTGATCAAATATTTAGATGTGCCTCCTAAAATGATTTGCCTAGTGACACTTATTGTAGGACAATTTTCAAACCCAATGGGGGATTTCGATATCTCGGAATTATTAAAAACAATAGTAACACTTGCCTTGGTGACACCGGCTTGCCCTCTCTTATAGATCAAATCTTGCAAATTGGATGCCCGAACTGTTTGCATCGAAGATATACCCAAAACAAAACATATAGCATCAAGAATATTGGATTTTCCCGACCCATTGAGCCCAGTTATGGCATTAAATGAAGCATCCCAGCCTGATATCACAGTACGAGTCGCATATGACTTGAATCCATCTATAATCAACTCATCTACCTTCATTTGAAGACCATAAACAACCTTGTCATGAAGACTTGGTCTACCTATTCTCTTGGTCAATTGTTATTAAAAGAAGAAGAAGCCGAAAAAAAAAAAAGATTCTAGTGCGGATCCTAAAGGGGAAATATATGCGGCGTGCGGCTTTGCCGTTGAAAAGGCTCATCGCGATGAGTGAAATATAAAAGGTTAGAAGAAGAAGAAGAAGAAGAAGAAGAAGGAGGAGTATATTTGGTGCTGGAAGGAGGATATTTTTAAAGAGAGGTATGTTTATTGGGCGGAATGTTGTCAGCAGCTCGAAACACCGAGTACGAAGACAGTTTTTACAAAAAAAGTTTCTACAAAGAGGGTTGTCTTTGCAAAGAGAATTTTCTTGCTCACGATGTATGTGGAAACAGCCAAAAAATGACGGTGCATCTTCCTTTGGGAAAAATTTAGGTAAGGCAGAGTTAAAGTCGTCGAATATTAATTGGGATGTCGTCCATAAGCTAACTGAGAAAGCTGCTCACAGGCCAATCAAGAAAGGTGCTCTTACACTGACTAGAAAAGGTGGTCTCACACTGACTAGGAAAGGTGCTTTCTGGCTCGAGGAAGGTGCTCACAAGCCAATCAAGAAAGGCGCTCACAGGTCCACCGAGGAAGCTGCTCATAGGCCAATCAAGAAAGGTGCCCCTAGGTTTGAGGAAAGTGCCCCCAGGTTTGAAAAAGGTGTTGAAAATATCACGAATCGGCAAAAACAACCTTCAAAATCCAAAGCAAATGTTCCTAATTTCTTCAAAGATTTGCGGGAACAGCAAAAGGAAAAAACCTTGTCTTTGAACGAAACCAAATCGATGGATATGACCCAGCTTGGGGATTTAATCAGGTCTAAAAAAAAGAAATTTAATTACGATAGTCCTTCAACAGACTTAACAAAGACTTGTGTGCAATTATTTAAAGAGATCAAGGAAAAGGCAGAACAAACTAGTTGTTTAAATTACAATGATCCATCAGAAGAATGGAAAAAGAGATTTACAAAAGAAGAGTTGGTGCAGCTTGAAAACTTTTTTAAAACATTTCCAACAACCGCCACCGTTTGTGGGAAACTGATGACTAGTCCTGTTCGAGTAGGTGATTTGGTGACTTTGGGGAAGGAGAATTTAAGGTTGTGCATTGTTGCTGCCATACCAAGAAGTTTTGAGTCTCAAATTGCAGCATTTCTTACCGATAGGGGAGAAGTTGTTTTTTCAAACTTATACCACATAAATTATAGAATCCCTGGCGCTATTCCAGAAAAATATCACAAAGTAATCGAAAAATTGGTTATTCTTGAACAAAAGATTCTTGATGTTGCCCCAGTGGGTGTGCCGGATCCTCAATTCTCTGAATCAAAGGAGACTTTACCGGTAGAATTACAAGATAAATTCAAATCCTTGTTGAAGGAAAATGAAAATAAAAGTGAAAACGAAAACGAAAACGAAAACGAAAACGAAAATAAACTCGATGAAGATACTGCAAAAGAACTTTCCGATTATGATTCCACTGACTTTTTCGTCACACAAGCATCATCGCAGCTTTTGACTAATTCGCCAGTTCAGACATATCTAGTGCCCATTGCGGCAAGAGAACTCTACCATAAAGCTTTAACAAGAATCTCGGATGAAGCATTTCGAATGGTTAATGAAATAAACGGAAAATTGGAAAAGTTGCATAGACTTTTACAAACCGATGCAACTCAGGAGTTGAATGCGCCACGAATAGTTTCAATTTTTGAGTTACTTCACAAGATAGATGAACCACTTACTATTACTTCAGGGTTGAATTCGTCTTCTTCTTCTTCTTCTTCTTCTTCTTCTTCTTCGTCATCGTCCCATAAGAATTCCCTATTAGGAGCAAGTCCAATAGAACTGGTTGATTATGAAAATAAAAAATTTTCAGTTGCAAAATATCTAGCAGTTGTGTTTGCTTTGAAAAAACAAAGTAGACTTTGGACAATTCATAAAAGCGGCTCCTCTCCTACTAAAGTCACTATTTGGCCATTGGGGCAAATCATTTATGAAGACAAGATAAACGAGTATTTGGACAATAAAGGTATTTCCGAAATTGCAGATTATTGCGTTAAAAAAATTCTTGGAGAAGAAGTGGGGGCTGCTCCTTTCGTATACGATGGAGTAGTTGAAATGTTGCAAGAATATGTTAATGGGAAATATGAAAGCAATCCAGAAATTTCTGCGACTTTGATTTCTCTTTTGAGAAAGATTGATAGCCTATTGCAATCAAAAGGTTCACAGCCAACCAAGGATGCTTATAAATTTGAATACTCCTTTGGCAAAGCATACGATTTATTGGTCAAATTAAAAGGTGGAACTTTTGTTGATCCAGTAAAATGGCTTCGGGAAGCTGATTTTTCAAATCAAGAGTTAGGCATGAAGGCTGATATGCGCGAGACTTACTACAAATATTTTGATGAGGCAGTCGAGGCAGTTGAAAAGGATCATAGCATGCAAAAATGTTTGGAGGAAAACCTCTACGAAAAGGATCCGCTTGCCAAAGCTAGAGTCGATATGACCGAGATTCCAATCTACTGTATTGATGATTCAACAGCTCATGAAATTGATGACGGTATTTCACTTCATCAAGAAAGAGGCAAATATGTTATTTCTGTTCATATTGCCAACCCAAGCTCTTACATTAAACCTGATTCAACCATTAGTTCAATTGCATTTGAAAAAGCATCAACCACTTATCTTTTAGAAGATGTCTTTCCAATGTTACCCAAGGCGATCTCGAACCTTTCAGGTTTGGGAGTCAACAAACAAGAGAGAAGAACCTTTGTGATACAGTACAGGCTAGATAAGGACTCTGTAGACCGGTATATATCAGACAAAATGCTGGACCCCGACTTTTCCCCCACCCCATCATTTCTTCGAAATATTGATGAACAAATTAATGAGAGTGGAACTGTATTTTTTGGAAAGGTTAAAAGATTTCGTCAAGGATTTACTTATGGCGCAGTAAACGAACTTTTAGATGATAAAGAAAAGATGACCCTGTTCAAACAAACGGGGGGATCAAAAGATCCCGACTTTGATAGTTTATTCAAGTTGCTGAACATTTCGAATTTGCTTTTGGGGATTAGAAAATCTAAAAAAGCTTTCCTTTCAAATGGCAATATCAAAATAAGTTACAACAAGGGCACAAGCAGTCAAAACTCTTTTGATTTTGAAAATTATCGTCAAGAAATGGTTAGTGTTACATTACCAAACTCCAATCACTCTGTTTCGATTGGTATGCAAAAAACTACTGGGGGTGTATCCACCTGTTTGGTTACTGAAAATATGATTATTGGAAATTACTTGGTTGCGAAATTTGCAGAAAAACATCATATTCAAATTTTATACAAGTGCATGGATCCTAAGTTTGAAGGAGAGTTGCTTGAGAAATACGAGAGATTAGTTAAAGTTTTGGATGCAGAAAAGGACCTTTCGATACTAGCCGAGGCACCTAATTTTTATGCATTCTTGAACAGAGCTTTCATTTCTGATAAACCAGATAAGCATTTTTTTATGGGATTGAGTGTGTACACAAACGTCTCCTCGCCACTTAGACGGTATATCGATATGGTGAATCAATGGAAAATTCAGGATTATTTCCTTAAGCAGTCAACAGTTCCGGATGAAGCAATCAAGGGTATAGTCTCCCTGTTGAATGGTAAAAGCGATATTATACGGAATGTTCAAAATCGGTCAAAGGCTTTTTGGCAAGCCTTGATTTTAAAGATTTGCAACGAAGAGGAGGAGGGGAAAAGAATGGGTACAAATTCCAAAACAGTGGCCGAGAAGCTTAATTTGCAATTGAGTTTAAGGACAAATCCACAAAAGGGGACTGCAGTTGATGTTCTATTGGAGACATTCACTAGCGTTCGTGCTCATCTTGAGGTATCGAAAAACTTAGTGGAGGATTTCAGTAAAGGTGTCATACAGATTGGCAAATCGATCAACCCTTCGAGATTAAATTTGAAGAAAGTTGACATTATCGAAAATGAGGTGATTTTCGAATACAAGTAGAGAAAAAGTAGACAAAAGTATATATTTTGCTAAATACTTAATGACATGATGATGATGATTATAATTGGCTTTATTAAACATACAAAACTTTTTGAAAGCTGAAAACTAAAAGATACATCAACTACCTTTACTAGCTATGGTAAAATAACCAGGTTGTAGATCCTTAGTCATTAAATTAGTGGTTGTTTTTGTTCTCCTTCCCTTCTCTCCCTCATTTTCTTTCTTTTTTTTATTATGCCCATTTACCAATAAGAGCCATTGCAAATGCTCCCAAACTCAAGCAAAAATATGCAGAGAGTAACCTGGTCATGGGAGAACCTGTGAATTCACCAGAGTGTATAAAATCAAATGCCATCAATTCAGCAATACTGTTGTAAATCAAAATTCCCGCACAAGCGGCATCAAAAGTACCTGCTGTAATTAATGCAGTTCTAGAATCTACTGGGTATGAGTCACGCACTATTAAACCAATACCAGCAGCAAATGGTGTTGTAAGACTGTACGCAAGTGACATAGCCCATGGTAAGTATTTCTTATTATCTGGCCATTCTGTTGTAGCAAATCTTGTACCCAAACCCAACCCTTCAAAGAATTGGTGGAAACCAATGGCAACGTATAATGTAATAAATTCGTCTCCAGAAATAGTAAGGGTTAATCCCACAAAGATAGAGTGAAGGACAATACCACATTCCAAGACAATACAGTTCAAGATTTTTTGATAAATCGACTGAAATTTTTTGAAATCTCCAACGTTTTCAATCTTGGTCAAGCAGTTAGTCGCTTGTTTTTCCTCCAAGTCCTTCTTTGCAGAGTCTTCATTGCTAGTTGAACTATCCATGACTTGCAATTGTTCAGCAAACCTCTCTCTGGACTTTTCAGCCAACTTCTTCTGAGCGATAACATCAAAGAAAAAGATGAAGAAAACCGCAATTAACGCTATACCTTCAGCAAATGGATACTCAGTGAATGGAGCACCCAAACATTCATTGGTGAGAGCTTCTGATGATTCTGCCAATAAATGAATAAACCCAGTGGCTATAATGACACCACTACCGAAAAACTTGATCATGAAGAAAATCCATGATGGCATTTTAAATTTCTGGGAATATGTAGCAATTAATGGTGTAAACGACCCCAAAGCGGATAAAATGAACAATACCGGTACTGTGGATACTCTAGCAGCAAAGTGTGTTCCATTGTACTCGTTACGTGTGATACAAGTATCCTCGGCTCTTTTGATTGCATTGAAAACGATGTTTTCTCCACTAATTGCATCAAACATGGTTCCCAAAGAAAGAAAAAAAGTTCCTATTGTCTTTCAAACAACCAAAAACGTCATTTTGTAAAGGGTATTTTGCATCAATTTATATACAAGGTTGTGGAAAAATACTTGGCCCTTGACGTACGGCATTTATCAACCTTTAACCTTGGCATCTCTAACAAAAAAAGCACCCAGCAGCAGCAACAACAAAAAAGTAGGAAAAAAGAAAACTTGAGATGTCCGGCCTTTAGATAACCAGCCAATAACCTCTCAGTTTAAAGCATTGAGATTTTTGTTGAATCATCACACAAATCCAGCTGATGGAATAGATAGTGTACTTTTTAAGTTACTTTTGAAATGTAACTTGAGTTGCAGACAAAAAAGAAACAAAATGTAACAATAACAAACTCACCCTCCGGTTTAGAAAGGGACTCTCCCTTTTTCAAATATTCCGACACCCGGGTAAGGTTTTTAAGTTTAGCAGGAGTATCTAGATGTTGCTAAAGGTGACTGTTTTTTTTTTTCTTTTTACCTTTCATCCATCAGATGATCTCTTCAATCTAAAGGGCATCGCTTAATCTGAGGGTCCGTATGGTAGCGTACTATCGTTTAGGCGGCGGCAGTGAAAAATCAAATCTTTTTTTTTGTCCATCTTCCCATTTAGTTATAACTTGTATAGATTGTAGTATTTGGTAAACGAGGATTGATGCCAAAACAGGGTATGGAGGAAGGTTCGGGAGAGATTGTTGGTGCTAGTTCCCCTTCTTATTCCCTTCAAAACTCGTTTATATCGACTATAGACCATCTTCCATGCGACATTGTGCGATCTCTCTGGCTAATTCAGTCGTGCGACATCAAAATAGATGCTTATACAAAGGAGCTAAATCAATTGTTATTGGATTATCAGCAAACAGGGCAGATACAAAATGAAAGCATTGGTCGTATATACCGACTCCGGAAGTCTATTGAATGGCTACGTGATGAAACCATCGAGGAAAGTGCGGCATTGAACAACCAGTTAATTACACATAAACTATATTTGAAGGATGAAATTAATCAGTTGTATAGACTTGAGCGTAGCAAGCAGGAAACTGTTCAAAATGAGCGCGATAAGGATAATTTGAGAAAACAGTTGCAGAAGCACTATAAGCAACACTCATTGACATCACAGGTTGAAGCACTAAAGGAGAAGGAATCAGGAAAGGGTAAAGAACCTAGTAAGTCAGGTCTCAAGTTGATACTACGAATACCCAAGAATGATAGGATACAGAAGCTAAAGGGGGAAAAAAAGAAACTCGAGAAGAAGAGTGCAGATAAAAAGAGTGCTAAGGAAGTTGCTATCAAGTCGATGAGATTGAAAAACACTTCTCCTTCAGTTATACAAGCTAAAAAGGTCAAGAGTCTGGAAAGTATAAACAATGATGAGGATAACAAAAGGTATTGTTTTTGTAAACAGCCTTCAATGGGAGATATGATTGCCTGTGATAACGAAACTTCCTGTTGCAATGGCGAATGGTTTCACTACAAATGCGTTAATTTGCTAAGCAAAGCAGAAGCTTCGAAATATACTACTGGTAAAACACCATGGTTTTGTTCCATCGAGTGTCGGGAAACAGTCAATGCCGAAAAGAAGAGGCAAAAGCTAAAGCAGAAAAGAAGAGGCAAAAGCTAAAGCAGAAAAGAAGAGGCAAACGCTAAAGTAGACAAAGGGTCAAAACAACGCAAAATGGTGAATCATCCTTCTATTCCTAAAAAAAAAAAAAAACACATTATTCAAGTAGTTTTCTAAAAAACTTTAAAATTTTGATGAACTTTTTTCTTTTTTCGCTATACAGTTAATAGTTCCAACATACCATTTATTTCACTTGCTTCTTTACACTTTTTAATTTCAACTTCAATCTTTCTCAGCAAATTAGTAAAACATTCTTCAAGTACAACACATTTATCGATCATTGAGCCGTACATTTCCAAAATCACGGCGATGTAATCACAGACGAGGTTGAAGGATCTCACGTCTTCAATATTTTTTGTCAACCATTGTAACATGGGCAATAATGAGATTTCATCTCTTTCTAAAAGGGCAATTCTCAATTTGCCTCTCTTTTTCAACTCAGTTAATATAGTAATGGTCTGTTCCTTTGGCAATCCTGGTGCAAATGCACTATCCAAGGCTTCGCTCCACTTGAATGCATTCAAGTATTTTTCAAATTGTTTCAATTTTCCCTTTGTTTGTTGTTGTTGTTGTTGCTGAGGAGTGCTTGTGTTATTTACAATTTCGTATTCTTCCTCTCCCCCATAGTCTCTCCCTTTCATCATCCTAGCATACGCATTGGATGTTTCCTGTTTAACGCCTTGTTTCACTTTGGGTTCTGTTTTCCTCGTACGTATCGATGTCAACCCTGAGGTTAATCCAGCTACAAAATGTTTATAGTTGTCCGGTGACACTGCACATGTTAAAACACCGCCGCTGCCAAATTTCCACCCAAATTTGACGTCCCAGTTTGTTGTATTGTAGTCAAATATCTTGACATGTCCGTCTAATGACCCAACAAGCAAACCTTTTTCCCTCGTATCATAAAGACAGGTTGTTGACTTGACAAAATTATTTAACTGGTGGATTTGACCATTTCGTGTTAAATCCCATATCTTAACTTGCGGTCCACCTGCACTCACTATGGTGCTTGAATTAACTGCAAGTACATCTTCGACTGGATCATCCTGATTGAATTGAGCAACTGCACCACCGTTGGGATCTCGAATATCAAATAACCGCACAACACCATCGTAACAACCGGTTATGATCAAGTTCGTGTTCCCCGGTATAAAACTGGCACTTCTTATATAGTCTTTATGTTGCGACTCGTCAAATTGGACTACTGGTCCTTGGGAAGTTTGAGAAATATCCCAAAGACGTAAAATCCGATCGTCTGATCCAGTGATTAGTTGAGAAGCAATACTTGGATGGAACTTGGTGACATGTGTTGGATGCAGTGATGGTTTGAAGCTCACTAAAAGGTTTCTTGGTTGATAACTATCGTATATCGATACTAATCCTGAAGCATCTGAAGCACAAATTAGTTTCCCATCAAACCGATAATTCGATGTATATACAACATCCTTGAATCGGGAAAAAGTTTTGATGATTTGCCTCGTTTTCGATGAAAAAATTTGTATCCTCGTAGACGATGTCACTGCAAAGTCATAAGGTGACGCCGGATTGAACTCAATATGATTAATTGGATGGTTTTCTTTAATCAACTGTGGACTAACATAGCTTCGCCAATATCTCTGTTCGGGAGTAGTTTGAGAGGCTAGCGTCGGGTTCCTTACTTGAGGAACACCTTGTCTTGCTGACGACATCCTGACGTTGTTCTCTAATCAGAAAAGTGGAGAGCCAAATGAGTGGGAAGTTATCAAGTGAACCAGAGCTCGATGCCTGGTTTTTTTTTTTTTTTTTTTCAGTGCAGAGGTCTTCGCAGAGACGGAGATGTGAAGTTACATTACACAAACCAGAATTGGAATCATTAATTGGAACAAATGCTAAAAGTTGCAAAAAAAAAAAAACTTGATCAACTCTACAGGACAGCCAACTTGGAGTAAAACTCTACAGGATAGTTAACATAAATCAGTATCCATCACTTAGGGGACTAGTTGCATTATGTTTTAAGCTTATCAGGATATCTAATATTGGAGTACTTTGCATCCTTAAAGCGACACTATCGAGCAGAGCAAGATAGTGGAGCACACTAGCTGCCACCAACACTATCCTCAATTTGTATTTATGTTTTTCGTGTTTTTATCCTCAATTTGTATCTATCACTTTTGGTGTTTTTCCATCTCCTCCTCCATTATCATTATACTCTTCTTTCTTGTTTCCTTCCTATTTTCCCCCTTTCCTATTTCCTTTCCCTTCCTCTTCTTTGTTTCTCCTTTCGCATTTCTTGCATGTAGGTGGAAGTCAGTGTGCTCTACTATTGAGCAGAGCGAGATGGTGTCGTTTCGTAATGTTGGAATCACAGCAATCTCAACCTCATCAAGTAACTTCTCAGTACTTGGGCTTTTTTTTTACAAAATGACATTTCAATATATCGCTACCATTTATCACCAAGAGATCATTAACTAAAATTACTATCATCAACTGAAATGACCACCAAACAGAGCGAGTTAGTGAGCAGCACTTTGTTGCTTGATACACGTATACATATATATATATAGAGTGTTGCTAGTCAGTGCTGCTCCACTATCTAGCTCTGCTCGATAGTGTCGCACCAGTAACTTTCTGGTAGAAACTGAAAAATCAAAAGCCACATAAAATTTACATGCTATGCAAATGATATACTTATATAGCAAACTTACAAACTTTTACGTTAAGCCCAATTTTTTTTCTTCTTCACAATTAGTTTTCCAAATCCTTTTTCAAAGTACCCAAGAAAGCGTGCTTTTCAGCTGGGGTTTGGAATCTACCCTTACCGAATCTTGAAGCAGTATCGATCCATTTCAAGTTAACTTCTTCCAAAGCTCTTCTAGAAGTGTCAACATACAATGATTTTCTCAAAGTAACAATTCTCTTCTTAACACCTGGGATAGAACCTTTCAACAAAACGAAATCGTTGTTGACGTTACCGTATCTAACAAATCCACCCATTGGGTTGATTGTCTTCTTAGTTCTGTCAAATTCAGTGGCACCATTTGATTCATCACCTCCTTTACCGATACGGTAAACCTTGTGGTTGATTGATGTTCTGTGGTGGTAACCGTTTTGACCTGCTCTGGCAACGGTCCAGTTAACGTTAGCTGGATGCCAAGCACCAATACAAGCAACCTTACGTAAACCTCTGTGGGTTTTTCTTGGTAATTTCTTAGTACCCCATCTGTGAGTAACACCCTCGAAACCATGACCTTTAGTAACTGCAACAACATCAATCATTTCATTTTGTTCGAAAACTGAGTCAACAGAAACTTCCTTTTCAAAGTGTTCTCTAGCCCAATCAACCTTGTCAGAAATTGATCCACCGTTGATTTGGATTTCTGCCAAGTGAGCCTTCTTTTGAGCTAATGGGGTCTTCTTGACTTGAGTGTGAGCCAAAACTCTAACAACTGAAGCATACTTCTTAATTCTGGCTAATTCAGTTTCAATTTGTTTGGCGTCTGAAGCGTATTTGGCAGAGTATTTAGTAAATGCCTTCTTCTTTGATTTGTACCAGTTTTTGTAGAATCTTCTCTTAACTTCTTCAGACAAATGTTCAGCCCAAACAGTAGTTAATGATCTTAAACCTCTTGGGGTTTCAACGTAACCCACAACACCAACAATAACTAATGGAGGAGTATCAACAACAGTAGCAGCTTCAACAACTTCTCTCTTGTGCATCTTGGAACCTGGTCTGTCCAAGTCTCTAACAATAGTGGTCATACCTGCTTTGTAACCTAAAAAGGCAGTTAAAGCAACTGGTTTGGATTTCACATCCTTAGGGAAAGACTTAACTTTTCCTCTTTGGTTAGCAGCTCTTTTTCTTGGTAAGAATCCTAAGGAACCGTGACGTGGTGCTTCGTATTTTCTATGAGACATTCTTGTTGATGTTGTTGTTGATGATAATGGTGATGAGAAGAGAAAGAAAACTTGAAAAAAAAATTTTCCATAGAAATGGTGAAAAATTTGAAAAATTTGAAAAAAAAAAAAAAAAAAAAACATTTTGATCCCATTAGCACGACTAAAGTTGTAAAGATACCAAAAAAATCGTATGCAGGATTGATATACAAATTACCCGGCTATACGTTTTCTATTATGAACACTATCTCTCTAACCTTTGTTCTAATGTTTATAATGTGTTCATGTTTTTCTACTTCCCAAACAAACCAATTGAAAAGATTAAGATACCAGACAAAATTTGAAAGATGAAACGATAGATTGAACTAAAAAACGATAAAGGATAATAATAATAGAAAAAAGAACAACAATATAAATTGGTAAATCTACCTTCTTCTAATATGCATGACTCTCTTAAGCACCAACCTTGCGTCTTCTGAATCATCTGAAGATGATGAGGATAAAATCCCCTGATCGTTGATGTGAGTATTGACTACTCCTCTTCCTTCTTCTTCTTCTTCTTCTCCTCCTCCTCTATGACCTTTATCATTTAATAAATCAACCATGATGACGGAGTTTTGAGTCTCATTTGGGTTTTCTAAATCATGTTGCTGTTGCTGCTGTTGCTGAGGACTGGAAGATTGAAGTGGCAGTTGCCGCAGTTGCTGTTGCTGTTGTTGCTGTTGTTGCTGTTGCTGTTGCGACTGTTGCTGCTGTTGCGACTGTAGCTGCTGTTGTTCTCCGGTGAATATTTCTTGATTGATTAAAAATGGATTCATCATTAAATTATAGCTATGATTACTGCCATTTGAACATACTTTTTGTCGATTCTGAGGTGAATTTATGCTCATCACACTATTCATCATAGAATTGAAATGAGGAGTCAAATTAAATATAGGAGTAAACCCAGTTGAGAAATTGTATAAACTGTTAGTACTATTACTATTGATGGAATTGTTCTTTGGTGTCTGAGGAGGTAGGAAAGGTGGCGATAGTGCGGGGTGCTGTAATAACGGTGTATAGTTAACGGTTATTGACTCATTAATGGAGTTTAATCGTGTTGCTGTTTCTAATTTCTGTTGTGTTGCTACACCTGTTATATCTGAATTGTGTCTTCTTAATAGTTGAGGATGTTTTGGTTCCATAATGGATTCATCATCCGTCGACAAGATTGCACGGTTCAGTATTGGTTGTTGACAATGTTGACTAAGCTTTTGATGGGCTTTTGTTTCAACTAGTTGCTCTGGCTCTGGCTCTGGCTCTGGCTTTTGCTCTGGCTTTTGCTCTGGCTCCAACTCCAAGTCCATCTCCAAGTCCAACTCTGATTCCAGCTTGGGCTCCAGCTCAGACTCGTTTTCTATTTTTTTAACATCGTAAGTTGGAGATGATGATGACGATTGTGGTGGTGAGGAGTTTGTATTGAAAATATTAGTTGACAATACAGCTTTTCCCAGCTCGTCAATAGTCAATTTCAACAGGAAATCCTCAAATGACTTTTTACAAAGTAAAGGTGATTTAAATTTACCCGCCTTGGTATCCTCACAAGCTGTGGTAGTTGAAGCTGCTGCTGCTGCTGCTGCTGCTCCTCCTCCTCCTGTTCTGTCGCCATTTGAGCTCGCTGTTAGTGATACTGGGGGTAAGAGATTCTTTGAAAAATCCTGCATCGATCTTGCTCTAGTTGGAGAATTAACCTGTGAATAGTCACTTTGTTTGCAAGATTCATCTTTTGCTACCTGGGCCAAATTCGAACTATGCGGGGTAAAAAAGCTATTCTTTGCAGCCAATGATGAAGACATTGATGAGGACATTGAGGTTGATGATGAAGTTGAAGAAGAAGATGTAGGTGGGGGTGTATTATAAAAAGCTTGCGAGTGAGTGATCATGGATATGTTATCCAATGTTTTTTTATGGAAATAATAGGAAGATGAAGATGATGATGATGATGCAGTAGGTGGGAAATGAGTACTCGTTGATGACATGGGGGTTGCTAATGGTACTGGTGATGGGTGAGAAAATGACTTTGATTTTTTCAAATTAATCATGGGCGATGTATCTGGTATAATAGATGTTGATGTTGGCAAAGATATAACTGAAGAGTTCTTTCTCCTTTTTTTGGTCTTTGATGTGGGACTGACTCTCATCAAGGGAGTAAACACGTTTGGTGCCCCTTGTCTAGCAGCCGAGTTGGAATTTGACTCAGCGGGACTAGCATGTAAGGGTGATGTATTTACGTTGATGTTGACAGTAGTGGTGATTTTCTCAGCAAACGAGTTCTTCTTTGGAGGTCTACCTCTTTTCCTCTTTGGAGTTGGGGTAACGAGCAGTTGCATAGATGATGAACCTGCGCTTGTTGTTTTCTGTTGCTGCTGCTGTTGCTGCTGCTGCTGCTGTTGCTGCTGCAACTGTAACTGTTGTTGTTGCCGGTTTTGCTGACTATAAAACTTGTTTACCTCAAAAGGGTCATTGGCGGTATGTGAAGGTGCAGCTGTGTGTATACCCGGCACCACAAAGGAGCTCATATGTGGCTGCTGATGCAATTGATGTTCGTGGTTAGATGCATAAATGATTTGTGGTGGATACTGATCTGGCATAATGAGGGTTTATTTGAAACAAGTTGGGTCAGTTTGTGAGACCATGTGAAGCAAAGGGATAAAAAGTTTAAGTTGTCAATGAACAGCAACTATTGACCAGTCTATATTGGAAGAAAAAAACAAGAAATGTCTTTATGGTAAGAAGAAGAAGAGAGAAGGGAGGGGGGGTGGGTAAATATAGAAGGGGGAGGAAAGTGAGTTAAAAAAAAAAACGAGTGTAGCTTAAAATGACAAGAAACGAATGAATGTGTTGTAAACTGTGGACAAGCAAAACTTATTCCCTTAAGATATGACAATGTGAAGATGTGAACAATGTCTCCAAGCTAGTTTTCTCTTTTTTTTTTTTTTTTTTTTTTTTTCCTATTAAAAAAAAAAAAAGTACACCAAATTCAATACTAAAAAAACCCGATCTCAATTTCAATGGGTAATTCCTTATAAAAGTATTTATCCTTTTTAAATAGAGATTACTAACTGCTGTGTTTAACCACCTTTTACTTTTGCCCTACAAATCTAAACTATACGCTTAAAAAAAATAATTTTATTCTAAAAAAAAAATTAAAAAAAAATTAAAAAAAAATTAAAAAAAAAAAAACGCCAAATTGGGAAAGGTAATTGGATTGACAATAAATGAAAAGTTTTTGTCTTAGTGTTGTAAAGAGGTTTTGAAAGATTCAAGAAAATCGAATTGAATCTTTCCCCCTGAGAAAGTTAAACGAGTCTTGAAAAGTGAGATCTTGAGAATATTAATGAACACTTGAGAATATTGACAAAAAGGAAAGGCGCTATTAAAGAAAAAGCGCTATTAGAGAGAAAGCGCTATCAGAGAAAAAAGCGCTATTAGAGAAAAAGCGCTATTCGAGAGAAAGCGCCGTTGGAGAATGGAAAGATGGATAAACATTGTTGGCCTAAGCCAATCATCCACACCTATATCTTATATAATCATATAATTCTATTTACTATTGTCTCTGGTTGGCTAATGAAAGGAGCACACTAGCAGCAGGGAGCGCGTCTTTCAAGTTATAAAGTACATGCACCAAAAGTCAAAATTTTGTCTTGTAAAAAACAGTCTTTTTATTTCTTCTGCATAGAAATTTATCTTGAATAAAAGAGCGGGTAATCTTGGTAAATGAGACTTTCATAACGATCGTATTTTCCAATTTCCTCAATCGAATGATTTTAATTAATTGTTGAATAAAACAATAAAAGTCGAGCGCTCTTTCTTTACGCGTGTTTACTTGCTCCCCCCTCTAGAGAAGATATTTGTCCATTTTCTAACCTCTCTTCATTGACACACTTTTTTTTTTGTCAATAGAATTGGCACAATGTATCACCATTTACTCAACAACGTCTCCTATTTAAAAGGACACTTTATCCAAATTAAAGCCCAAACGTATGTATTTGAATTTTTACACGAATAGTCTTTATCTTTACGCCACCGTAAGTGTGTCCTACAGCCCATTGACTACAAAGGAATAATAATAAAAAAAGAGAGAATTTAAGCGAATCAGAAATTAAAGCTCAAAACCTAAAACAAAATGGTCAAAACTGGAAAACAAGACTTTGGACAGTTGGATCAGCTCCTACTACACGGTGACAGGGGATACGAAAGTAAAATCAATCTCTTCTCCCCCCCCCCTCTCTCTCTTTTTTTTTTTTTTCTTTCTCTCTCTCTTTTTGCCTCTTTCTCCCTCTCTGTATCCGTTTGTCCAAGTGGTCTTTTTCACTTTATGGGGAAACAGAAGCAGCTAAATTGCGAGGCAAGATTCATTCGTTGTTGTTTTTTTTTAAACTTTTTCAATATCAAAAGAGCAAGAGAACGCCCCTTTTCTTAAAATAAAATAATAATAACTGAGAAAAGGATGGAACGAATAAAAGAGAATATTGTCTGCCTCTCTAGCTCTATCGGTATTTCGTCACTTAGTCCTTGTTGGTTATTAGTTCTTTATTGTCCACTTTTCTGCAATTAGTAAAACTCTTACTTCGATTGAAAAAAAAAGAAAAAAAAAATAATTTTAACTATAGGACTTTAAGACACTGTTCAATGAGTATTAAAGATATCCCCCCCTTTTGACTTGTTTGTGTTTAAATGATTTTTTTGTCATAACCGCAGGTGTCTTATCTCTTATTATTATCGGTTATCATCGTCATCGGTGTTGTAAAATGGTTACCCCTTCATCCATTGTCACCTGTTTTGGAAAAGAAGGTTAGGAGACGGATAATGAGAGGAGGTAAGCGCCATTCACATTTAAATGAAGAGAACAAAAATAAGAAAGTGTTGAGAGTTGAGAGTTGAGAGTTGAGAGTTGAGAGTCGAGAGTCGAGAGTCGAGAGTCAGAGCCGGCACCTGATTCTTCTGAATCTGCATTTAAGTCTGCATCTCTTACTCGATGTTTAAGTCTGCATCTCTTAGTCGGCGTTTTAGTGTCTGTATGTGTGTGTTGTGTCACAAGGTGAAAAATTTAATTAATTTACCTTCGCTTCAAAGCCCAAGATTCGCATAATAGACAGATGAACAAAGACTAATGGGTAAAGCCTGCGCCTCCTCCACACACAAGAGTCTTATATTTATGAACAGCAATGATCCAGTGATATCAGACAATATAATATAATATATTGATAAGAAACTAAGAAATCAATAAAAAAGACGGATAAACTAATAAGCAAATTGCTGGTTAGTAAAAAAAAAAAATTCATTAAAATCATTAAAACGATTTAGTGTCAGCAATTGACAAAGCAATGAAGAAGAAAAAATTGAAAAAAAAAAAAAAACACTTGTTTTATGAATGGGGTTGGAATGGTGTAAGACATGGTTTCACAGAGGTAAGAATATTTATCGCAAATGCCTGGTTCTTCTCGAGTATAAATCAGGACTTTATAAATACGAAAATGATTGATTCTGTGTTTTTATTCCCAGTCAACGATGTTCCGGTATGAGTTACTAGTCTAGCGATTTTGGTACAAAGTTTTATTTGTTACTAAAAAATTTTTTCAATCTCTTATTAAATTTCGACGCGTCATTCTGTATGTAATGTATTTTACAAATTGGGTAATATTAGTCAAAAGTGCACTACACTTGCATAATAGTCTCTCTCTCTCTTCAGCAAGAGAAGCCAAATCAATATGTTTTAGACTAGAATATGAATCTGAATATGAATCTGTGGATAAACCGTTATTTTAAATCTGTTTGGAAAAGGATATTTTAAATCTGTTTGGAAAAGGAGAAATTACTCGCATGCGTCTGTGACTAACTTCGGCCAATAGTTTTTTTTCTAGTTTTGCTTTCTTCTTCCCGAATTTACTTGTCTTTAAAACTACAAGAATTTGTGATGTGATGAAAAATGGATGAAACATTACTAATTAACAATGTCGTACAAGTACGAAATATTGCTCAATAGCAATGTTGTACAAGTATGAAATACTACTCAATAGTAATGTTGTACAAGTGTTGGATAAAGCGTTCTTGCTTTCCATCAGAGTCATCTAACAAACTGGCATTGTACACTTACACATATCTATATTTTAGAAATTTGTTGTATTACACTTGAGGGGGTGTTATTTTTTTTTTAGAGCAAAACAAATACCCCTTAATAAAAGGAAAAAAAAAGAAAGAAAAACAAAAAAAAAGACTTATTATGAATATTAGTCTCCAACTACGACCTATCCATTGAACTTGGTAATAGTTTCCAAACAATTGCTGTATTGGATACTGAACTAACTTCTTCTCATATATCTCTCTAAAATCAATCTTGAAGCACATTAACCCACGCTTTAAGCAAATTTATCCTCTTCAAGTAAGAAACCTCATCATCATCCATCTTTTCTTCCCCAATTAATCCATCTGTTGTGGAGTTCAACAATCCGGTGTTGAATTTAGCCAACTCGTTTTGTGCAGCAAGATTCACTATGCTTTCTGCTCGTTGTCTTTCCATGGTAATCTGCTCTTTATGACTTATTTCCAGTTTGAACGATTCGGGTATTGATGACATCATATACGTATACCATTTTGAAATTGCATCAAACCAGTCTTCGATTTTGATGGGTCGATCAATTAGGAAAAAAAACTTACTCGATAATGTCGATGTAGAAGGGTTTGGTGCATCGGCGAAAAATAAGTTTGTTCCACCATCTATAATCATTTCGTCCGTATTGTTGTTATTCTCTTCCTTGGTGTTGTTGTCGCTGGCTTGTACCGTGAGCGAATCAAGTGATTTAATATTATAATAAATTGATTTGGGAGTAGTAGGTACCACTAGATCCGTTCTACTGCTTTGGTAAACTAGTTTCTCGATATTATCGACTTTTGAGTTTTTCAATTTTCCTTGATGCATTAATCTTACCAATAACTGCTCCAAATCATCATCTCCATTTGGCAATTTCAACTTATCACACAATGAACTAAAGCTGATTACTGGGAAAGTGGAAAGATATTTGAGTAATACTTTTGATCTCAAATTATTTAAGATTTCCTTTGATGCATGTTTGAAAATGTCATCATTTTGTATAAACGAGTCACTTTTATCTTGTAAGACTTTTTCGAATCCATCCAAATCCAAAGAATGGTATGCATGGATCAACTTCTTCAAATTGTCAAATTCGCTAAACTGAGAATATGTTTGTGTTTCTTGGTTTTGGAAAGGGTCTAGCTCAGAATCAGTTAGTAAGGAACAAAGCGCGAGATATTTCAAGTTCTTATTCTTTTGCAAATTGAAACTGCCTGCTTCATCGTAGCTCTTAAAGCTTTGATAGAATTCGTATTTGGCCTTTTGATAATTGTTTCGATAAAATTGTACTTTGGCTCCACATTCCTTAATAATTCCCATTATCTTTGGATGTGTTACCGCGGTGGTATTTTTCGAGCTCAAATTGTAAAGTTTATTCATCATGGGCAAGTCCAATTTATTAATTTGAAATAAATATTCAATTTCAGCAGCAATTATTTCAAGTGCAAATAATTTTTGAATTGACTCAGGAACAGTTTGGAACCTGGCATGAATCTTTTCTAAAAGTTGTGGTACTCTGTCGGTTTCTCCATTCTCCATTAGCAAATTTAGTAGATTGGAGTTTATCTTTAACGACAACTTATCGCTAACGAAATAGTTTTGATCCAAAAGAATTTGATAAAAATCATGGATGAATTCCGGTTGAGACACATTTGAGTACCGCACAATCATTCGAGAAAGAGATTCCTCAGCATATGACTTACTCAACCTCGGCAATAATGGAATAGCTTGCTTAAGTAGATTTAGCACTTCTTGGTAATTTGCTTGATTAAAATATAGTTTGATCAATTGCTTAAATGCCCGGAAAACCCAATCCACTTGGTCGTCCGAGGTATAATTCTCAACAATGTTTCTGAAATTAGCAATGGCTTGATTTGGCTCATCGTCTTTTACAGCTTTTGCCGTGTAATATTTATTTTCCTAGTGGTGAAAAAAGTACGGTTTTATTAGTTATCAATAGATACACTTTGGCGGGTAACCTTTTTTTTTTTTTTTCAAGGCTATTTTAGTTTTTGCAATACATACAATTCCTTGAGCCTCGTCCTGTGAGATACGGCCATCATCATCGTTTGACAAGACATCTCCGCTTTCCTCTTCTTCAAACTCGAATTCATACGAATCTTCAGAAAAGATCTCTTCATCAGACATCTCTCCTCGTAATTGACCTGACCTTGATATCGAAAAAAAAAAAAAAAAAACTAAAATAAAATAAAATAAAATAAAAAATGTATTTAGTTATGGCTGGTGGAGAAAAAAAAAACACAGGGCAATTTTTAACTATGGGGAATCGTTGATGGTATGGCAAATACATGAAAAGAGTCATACTCGTCGGGAACAACCAGAGAAACAATCAGAGAAACGTCCAGGAGGAAAGGTCTCATCAACTTTATGACTAGAAGTACAGTTGATACAGAGTTGGATATTTGGTCAACTATACACCCTTGTAATTAATAATGAGTATTCTAGTTACATAGATAGAAATTAGAATTATGGTATGAATAACAACAAGCATGGTATCTAGTTCAAATTTTACATGTATAAACAACAAGTTCCTTTGTAGTGTAATGGCTATCACGGTTCGCTCTCACCGAGCAGATCGGGGTTCGATTCCCCGCAAGGGAGGAATTTGATTCAACTTATTTTTTTTTTCTGGCAAACGAGAAACTTAACTTAAGCAATTTTTTTTTAACAGGTGAGAAACTTAACTTGATCAGTTTTTTTGGCAAGTGAAAAACTCAACTTAACCAACTTTTTAGTAGAGTAGTAAATTATAGTTTTATCTCCTACTTGTTTTCTCATTACTATTTATTTTTGTCATGTTAGCGTTAAAGAGAGGAGCTATAATTTGAATGTTGTATATGGTTTGCTATTATTTGAGATGAATGTTGTATATATTGTGCTATAGAAAAGTGATCTACGTAAAAACTTTTTTTCCTTTTTCTTTTTTTTGGTTGCAAAATGCAACAAAATGTTTTTCCCTTGTAGTTAACAACTAAAAAGTGAGTTACAACACCAACAGGGTTTGACTTGCTACTACTTCTCACTTCTAAATGACAGCCATGACATAATTGTTGAGAACTCACTCAATAATTGACACACGGGTTTGATTGAATATTATGTAAACATAGGTGACAAAAATGCACACATAAAGAAGAAACAAGTCAGAAAAAGAAAGACGGAAAAAATAGGTATTGCTTTTTAAGAATCGCACTCACATGACACATAATGTCTTTATAACTGAGACCTCTCATCTATTACCACTTGAAAATTTTGTAGTAAAAAAAAAGAAAAAAAATAAATAAATACAAGAAAAGCTTAGAATAAGTCATTGACCAACCTTATTTGTGAAATAAAATAGTGAACATAGGAGGCATATATCAAACTAGTGGCTCTGAGAAGCACTAGTAGTCTTTTTCCTATGTATTCAAATCACCAAACTCGCATTATCCCTTTATTTTGGACTTTCTTTTAACGAAACAACAAAAAGCTAAAAAATAATAAATTACATAGTGTAAATTTCGCTTCCAGTATATTTTTTTATTGTAGAGTAAAGGTTTTTGTAAGTCTTTGCGAGAGATAAGAAATATAAAGTAATGTGTGGAGAAAGAGTCAAAATTAACTGTCCTTCTATTATTTCTATTGCGCCCTGCCTAAATTTCGGTCATATCCGGGTCAATAGGTAAAATTGACAAGGGGTGTGAAACAAAATACAATATATGTCTGGAGTAGATACAAAACATGTCTGGAGTAGATACAATATATGTCTGGAGTAGATACAATATATGTCTGGAGTAGATACAAAACATGTCTGGAGTAGATACAATATATGTCTGGAGTAGATACAATATATGTCTGGAGTAGATACAAAACATGTCTGGAGTAGATACAATATATGTCTGGAGTAGATACAATATATGTCTGGAGTAGATACAAAACATGTCTGGAGTAGATACAATATATGTCTGGAGTAGATACAATATATGTCTGGAGTAGATACAAAACATGTCTGGAGTAGATACAATATATGTCTGGAGTAGATACAATATATGTCTGGAGTAGATACAAAACATGTCTGGAGTAGATACAATATAT